AGGACAAAATATGGCACTTGGTAATTTTGGGGCCTCTGAGCCAGCTGAGCCAGAAACAGGAGGGGCTTGTCTTCTCATCCAGCTCAGTCACTGCTACCTCTATTTACACACATGCATATAGGCAAAGAAAGCCTACTCAGACCTGGCAAGTGGCTCCCATTACCCACCCACCCTTGATTTTGCAATTTATGAACTGGCCTCCAAGGATTCCTTCCTCTTCACCAGAAGGAGAGACAAGATGTTCAGGGCCTGGAGCAGAGCAGAAAAAAAAAACAGGGAAACTTCAGGACCATCTCAACTTAAGCAAATACCAAAGAACAGAAGCCATTTCAGTGGCAACATTCCAGAACTTATTTTAAAAGGAACTCAGCAGAAATCTAGGACATTCCCAATTCTGATCTTCCCCAATACATCCCCCACAAGACTGCACATGGGTTTGCACTCTCTATCACCATAGCTGCAGTTAAGCACTTGGCTTCAAATACTGGCTGTTTTTGGGGAAGGTCATGGGGGGGGGTTGGGGAAAGAAACACCAGACGGGACACAAGTCCCCTGATCTTTAGCTCTTGTTTTTAGTAGAGAGAGGCATGTCCTTAACATGTATTAGCTAACCTAAAGCAATGAATGAGATAAAATCCTAGCAAATGCAAGGCAGGGCAGGTCACTAATTTTATGCAAATTACCAGGGTGAACTAAACACAAAATTTTACCTGAAGTCTGTTGGGTCCACAATGCCAACAAGACTCTTGCGTCCCCCTAGGCTTGGCCTCCCCCTGTAATCACAGGGATTGCCAAACTGAAGTCCATTTAAATTTGTATCCCAGCTCTGAAACCAGTTCTGGATGCTCCAAAGAAAGGTATAAAGACATTTTATATAAACTGCCCCCAAGAGAAGCTGTTTCTCCTCCCCACCATGAGTGGTTTTGGCTTACACTCTGAAGTGGGAGAGTTTATAATCCATACACATTTTAACTCAATACTCACTTTCAACTTGTGGCTATCCATACCCCTTGATCCTGCTCAGTTCTTGGCTTTAACAGTATCTTGGGACTACAGCTACCACAGCTTAATCATACAAGGAGTAACAACACCCCCCCCTCCCCCCCACAATATCCTTAACAGCTTTACAATGATGGCTCATCTACTACGTTGCTATCCTTCTAGCTCTATATTATGGGAGGATAAATATAAATACCCAATTACTTTTCTTACCCTATTCATAAGTCTGTATCTCATTTCCATCTTCAATTCCTCTTTGAACTGAAGTCTTCTACATGCCATTAAGCACTCTTGTCGTTTAGCCCTGGACCCCTATTTCTGGGCAGGTTACAATGTCATTCTACAAATTAATATTATTTTTCTACCCAGTGTTAAATTCACTTTTTGATCATCACATGGCAAACAATATTTCACGGAGTACTCAGCAATGATAGCCAGACTGCTGCCCAGCAAGCTACAGTTAAGGCTCACAGTGCTTTATCATCATTTCACCGGGCACCTCAAGGGGACCCAAAAACCACTTACCAGGGTTACCCAGTATAGAGAGCTAAGGTCTTGAGAAAGAAACAACAAAAAACCCATGTCTCTGAAAGTGGCAGTGAGTGTCCCCAAGTCATCTTAGCAGACACACAAGTCACTGGCACTTGGAATTTAGTCTGGCTTTGTTAAAAAAATTGATCATACAAACAAAGCTCAACAACAACATTTCTCACTTTCAGCATGGGCAGGGGGGTATTTTGCTGAACTGCTTTTACAGTGATCCCTGACCCTTCTTCAGGGAAAGAAGGAGGAAGCTTATTATGAGATACAGAACCAGCAGTGACTGATCAAATACCAGAATGCTTGCAATCAGAGAAATACTGAAGGGTTCCAACTCTGCTCAGGGATGGCCTGCAAGACATGTCAATAAGTCACTGCTGGCTCAGAAGGAGCAGTCAGGTACTTCCCATTCCAGGCATTCCAAAGTCTTGCTCACCTCCAAAAGAAGGTGTAATTATGCATATAATTAAACTGAGTGACATGAGCATTCACAACACACTTCCTCATTAGCATGAAAAGCTCTACGAAAGATGCTTCTACCCCTCAGGAGGCACGAATTCTTACGGAAGATCTCTTGTACGGGCAGTTGGTCCAATGAGAGATACAAACCACAAGAAGTCTTGCCTCGTGCATATTTCCTGGACTGTGGGTAACAACATTACCTCAACACTAGCACCCCATGACATCCAGCCCTCTCTTCTAGCAAGTGGACTTTCCTTCTCCAGCCATGGCCCTAAGGGAAAAACCATTAACTACTGAATAAAGAAAATAGCAACCCAACATCTCTTAAAATGAACACAAGAAAGGACACCACACTACAAGGCGCACAGATTAAGACAACACATGCCCTGTGCTTTGCCCCCACACAAACAAGGGGTGTCAGGGAAGGCAGGCTATCAAGACATCAGTTACACTAATAACCAATCTTTCGGTTTACTACCCAACCCATTATTTGATATTGAGCAAAAATAGGTTTCAGGGTTTTTTTGGCCTGAAATAAAAAAAAAAAAAAATGGTTTAGAGCAAAATTAAATGTTTCTTTCAACCAAGATGAAGCAATTTACTTTGGGGGTTTAACTCCATTCTTGGAAATTTAAATTAAAAATAAATCTGAATCAAAGAACTTGAAGCATTTCACCTTCTCTAAAATTTCTTAGTTTTCTGGTTGTAACTATTTGTCTATTCAACCAAAATTTACAAACCATTAAGGTCCCCTTAAAAAAAAAAAAAATCACCTATGTTTACTCAAAAATTGAGCTAGATTCCTTCCATGAGCAAGAATGGAAGCAGCCCTCCTCCACCCCTC